GGCCTGACATGAGCAGAATCTGTGAGTGATTTTAATAAGTGCTTCAAAACTGTCCCTGCCTCTGAAACTAACCCAGAGCCTACTAAAGTGTAATAGACTTAGCCCAACTAAATGTAATAGAGACATTCTCAAAACATATTCAGAGTAGCCAAGGCATTCATTCATAAAGAGAATCCCAAAGTTGGTACTTCCATATTTTAATCAATTGGTTAATTTGACACATATCTATCCAGTATCTTTGAAGTGAAATATACTGTGCTGCATATTGTGGAAAATAGAAAGATTTGTCCTTCCCTCAATAATTATGATAAATTAGAGTATATATTTTAATTGTATAACTATGTGCATTAAGAAATATACAGACTCCAAAACCAAAACCCAAACTCACTGCCACCGAGTCTATTCTGACTCACAGCAATCCCTGTTGGGTTTCCAAGGCTGTAAATCTTATGGAAGCAGACTGCCACATCTTTCTCCACGGGGCAGCTACAGTTATCTATATTTTTGCAACTATATGAAAAAGGAATGCACAGAGGTTTAAGTGAATTTAGTAAGGAGACATTATTGACAGATTGGAGGGATGAGGAAAATTTCTTTTAGGAGCTATGATTTGAAGAACTAGGATATTTTGCAGATGCAGAATGAAGAGGAGGACATTCAGTGGAATAAATAGCAAAATGAATTGCATAGAAACAAGAAACAACACAGGGTTCAGATTGATTATAGTATTGAGTACATGTAAAAGATAAAATAAAGACAGTAGACAGGGAAATAAAAAAAACCTAGAGAATGGAAGACAAGAATTTCTCAGATTTCTGAAGTAAATATGTCATATCCTCTCATATAATGTTGTTGTTGTTGTTGTTATGTGCCGTCGAGTCGGCCCCGACTCATAGCGACCCCTCCTTGGGTTTCCGAGGCAGTTATCACTACGGAAGTAGGATTGCCCAACCTTCCTTCCGAGGAGTGGCTGGTGGGTTTGAACCGCCAGCCATCTGGTTAGCAGGCAAGTGTCTTAGCCACTATGCTACCAGAGCTCCCATAGGTCTAATATATTCTCATAAAAAAATCAGTGTATCTAAACACTAACCTATCCTTGAAAGACATAATAGTATCCCTTGCCCACTGAAGAGATGTAATTTTATTTTCATTTATTGAGATAGAAAAATTTTCCAAAAGAAATTATACATGGGAAGACTTCACTCTTTTTTCTACATTTATCTCTACAGAAGACTCTAAAGGGAAACTTTACTAATGTTATATCATTTTGGTCAATATGAAATTAGAAAGTAGAAGAATGAGGGGTGACCTAGAAACTCATCTTAGTCTCCTACTCAAGGCTGATTACACCAGCTTAGAGTTTCACATGACATGATTCTTACTATGTGTCTTTATTCAAACCAAGATTTTTTCATTGGATAATGTTTGTTGAACAATTCAGTTTTTGAAGGTAACATATGATCAAGAACTAATGGTGGTGAAGTAAGAAGTCCAAGCTACACTGAAAACATTGGTGTCTTCAGAAATTGATGGAATACCCATTGAGATGTTTCAAAAAATGGATGCAGTGCTGGAGGCACTTGCTTTTGCCAAGAAATTTGGATGACAGCTACCTGGCCAACTGAGTGGAAGAGATTGATATTTGTGTCCTTTCCAGAGAAAGGTGATCCAACAGAATGTGGAAATTATAAAACAATATTGATATCACATGCAAGCAAAATTTTGCCGAAGATAATTCAGAAATGGTCACAGCAGTATATTGACAGAGAACTTCCAGATATGCAAGCTGGATTCAGAAGAGGACATGAAATAAGGGATATCATTGCTGATGTCAGATGAATCTTGACTAAAAGCAAAGAATACCAGAAAGATATTTACCTGTGTTTTACTGACTAAGTAAAAACATTTGACTGTGTGGATCATAGCAAATTATAGATAACATTGTGAAGAATGGTAATTCCAGAACACTCATTGTGCTCATGAGGAACTTGTATAGAGACCACGAGGCTGTTGTTCAAACAGAACAAGGGGATATTGCACGGTTTAACAGGAAGGGTGTGTGTCAGGGTTGTATCCTTTTCCCATACTTATTCAATCTGTGTGCTGAGCAAACAATCCAAGAAGCTAGACTGTATGAAGAAAAATGCAGCATCAGGATTGAAGACTCATTAACAATCTGCGATATGCAGGTGACACAACTGGCCTAGCTGAAAGTGAAGATGATTTGAAGCACTTACTGATGAAGATTAGACTACCTAGTCTTTAGTATGGATTACACCTCAACATAAAGAAAATGAAAATTCTCACAAAAGGATCAATAAACAACATCATGATAAATGGAGAAAATACTAAAGTTCTCAAGGATTTAATTTAACTTGGATCCATAATCAACACCTATGGAAGCAGCAGTCAAGAAATTAGATGTCTTGTTGCACTGGGAAAATCTGCTGCAAAAGATCTCTTTAAATGGTTAAGAAGCAAAGATGCCATTTTGAAGCCTATGGGGAGCCTAACCCAAGCCATGGTATTTTCAGTCACTTCATATGCATGTGGGGACCTCTGGTAGCATAGAGCCTAAGGCACTTGACTGCTAACCAGAAGGCTGACGGTTCAAACCCACCAGCCACTTCTCAAAAGGAAAGTTGGGCAATCTACTTCCGTAGTGATGCTGCCTCAGAAACCCAAGGAGGGGTCGCTATGAGTCGGGGACGACTCGATGGCACATAACAACAACAACATATGCATGTGAAAGCTGGACAATAAATAAAGAAGACCAAAGAAAAATTGATGCCTTTGAACTGTGGTGTTGGCAAAGAATAATGAAAATACCATGGACTGACAGAAGAACTAACAAATCTGTCCTGGAAGACGTGCAGCCAGAATGCTCCTTGGAAGTGAGAATAACGAAACTTCATCTCACCTACACTGGTCATGTTGTAAGAAGGGACCAGTCCTAGGAGAAAGATAACATGCTTGGTAAAGTAAAGGGTCAAAGAAAAATGGGCAGACCCCCAATGAGATGGATTGACACAGTGGCTGCAGCAATGGGCTCAAGCACAGCAGCGATTGTGGGGTGGCCCAGGACTGGGTGCCATTTCATCCTGTTATGCATAGGGTTGCTAGTAGAGCTGATTCAATGGCACCTAACAACAACACAAGACATAGAAGGAAACTTCCTCAACCCAGTAAGCAACACCTATAAAAAACCTATAGCTAACATCATACTTAATGAGAACAAGCAAACATGTCAGCTCTCATCACTTTCATTCATCATTTTAGTCGAGGTCTTCAGAAATGCACTAAAACAAGAGGAAAAAAAAAGAATAAAGTGGATATAGATAAGAAAGTAAGAAGTAAAACTCTTTAGTTGCAAATGACTTGATTATATATGTAGAAAATAATAATCTATCAAAAAAAAAAAAAAAAAAGCCTGGTAGAATTAGTATACAACTTTAGCAAGGTCACAGGATACAAGGTCAATACACAAAAATCAATCATATTTCAATGGACTAGCAACAAACCATTAGAAAATTTTAATAATTTAAATAGTATCTATAATAGCATCAAAATTACTTCAGGATAAATTTAATAAAATATGTGTAAAACTTCTACCTAAAGCACTTGACTGCTAACCAGAAGGCTGGCGGTTCAAATCCACTAGCCACTCCTCAGAAGGAAGATGGTGCAATCTACTTCTGTAGTGATACTGCCTCGGAAACCCAAGGAGGGGTCGCTATGAGTTGGGTCTGACTCGACCGCACATAACAACAACAACAACAAAACTTCTATGTTGAAAATTACAGAACACTGCTGAAGACCTAAATAAATGGAAAGATATGCCGTGCTGAAGAATTGAAAACTCAATATTTTGTCAATTCTCCATCCAATTGATCTCTAGATTCTACAGCATTACAAACAAACTCCCAATAAGTTTTTTTAAAAAGTAGAAAATGACAGACTGACTCTAAAATTTATATGGAAATTCCCAGGATCTAAAAAAGCCAAACAATCTTAAAAAGGAAGAAGAAATTTGGAGGAGTTTACATTATCGTAAGGAGCTCTGGTAACATAGTGGATAAGGTATTTGGCTACTAACCAGAAGGTTGGAGGTTCAAAGCCACAAGCTACTCCACAGGAGGAAGATAAGGCAATCTCCTTCCATAAAGATATACAGCCTTGAACACCCAATGGGGGTTGCTATGAGTTGGAATCAACTCGATGGCAGTGGGTTTGGATTTGGGACACTACCTTATTTCAAGAGAAACAGATCAATATGTATATTGTCAATTTTATTTTCTATGTAGGCACCAAAGCAATTTGATGAAAAAAGAAAGGCTTTTCAAAAACAGAGTAACTCTTATATAAATGCAAACAAACAAACAAAAACATCTTGGCCCGTACCTCACACCATCACAAACATTAATTCTTAATAGATCGTAGAGCTAAACGTAAGAGCTAAAAACAAGGCTTCTAACAGAAAACACAAGAGAACATCTTTGTGAACCTGAAGTAGCCAAAATTTCTCGGACAGGACTCAGAAAGCAGTTGATAAAAGTGTATTTCATCATATAACTCATTAAGAAAATGAACAGATAAGCCACAGACAAAAAAAAAAAAAAAAATTCACAATTTGTGATAGTTTTTGTGTCACCTTGGCTAGGCTATGATGTCCAGTTGTTTGGTCAACACAATCTAGAAACCATTGAAGGAAGTAGTCAAAAAAAAAAACAAGCCTGTTGCTGATGAGTCGATTCTAACCCATGGTGAGCTCGTGAGAGACAGAGTAGAACTGCTCCACAGAGTTTTCTTGGGTGTAATCTTTATGGAAGCAGATCATTTGGCCTTTCTTCCATGGTCTGAACCACCCACCTTTTGGTTAGTAGCTGAGCACAAACTCTTTGCACCACCCAAGGACCTACAACCTCTCCCAGTTCCCTGCATAAACAGCAGGTAGTTTTAAAAGAGGTAACAGGTATAGGAAAGAGTGAGATAGTTCTTACCACATCCAATACTGCATGGATTAATAGATCAAGGTGTATTGTAATGGCCTTGCTCCAATTGTGAACGGGTCTCACTTCCTTGTGGTATTTCTGTAATAGCTTCTTGATGAGATGATGTTGAGCAGAATTCCTGGGATGAGATGTATCTATGGCTTGGATTCCTGGAAAAGAAACCTATCACTGTGAGGATAAAAATAAAAGGAATTTAGCATCTTTAGGATGCTGCAGACTGTTCAGGACTCATTGGCTCTTAGTAGAATATGATTTTCAGCTCCCCTCAATCTGCATAAGTTCACAGCCAGCTAATGGAGTTCTTTGGCAGATACTTCTTGCCATGGATAAAACTGTGTCCCCAAAAAATATGTGTCAACTTGACTGGGCCATGATTCTCAGTGGCTTGGCAATTATATAATGATGTAATCATCCCCCATAATGTGATCTGATGTGATCAGTCAATCAGTTGTAAGGGGATTAAGGTGGCATACAACACCCTTACAGTCCTGATCCAACATAAGGTGAGTTTCCTTGGTCTGCATCATCTTTTATCTTGTAGGAGATAGAAGAAAAGAAAAGTGAGTATAGGAGGAGAGACCTCAATGACATTAAGAAAGAAGAGCTAGGAGTGGAGCATGTCCTTTGGACCCAGGTTCCTGTGCTAAGAACCACGTAAACCCAGAGGAAGATTGATGCCAAGACAAATGGAGATCTCCAAGGAACACTGGACCCACAGATATTGAAAGGAGACAAGGACCTTCCCCCAGAGCCAATAGAGAGAACCTTTTCCTAGAGCTGGTGCCCTGAACCTGAACCTCTAGCCTCCTGAACTGTGACAGATAGCTTCTGTTTGTTAAAGTCACCTACTTGTATTTCTGTTGTCGTAGTACTTGATAACAAAGACACCTCTTTAAAGGGAGCTTATGGCCTTAGTACCTGTAGAGAAATCTTATTGTAAAGATAAATAAATCAACCCATTTCCGAGGATGTAAACTATACCTATAATTGCATTCTTACAGTAATTATGATCCTGAAGAGACTATTTTTTCTCTATTCCTGTATCACTACCTGCTGGCACATAGAAGAAACCCATCCATACACTTAGCCAAAACTTAAGTTCACCCTTGATTTTTTTATCTTGATTTTCCACTTGTAATTCAATAATTAAATAGGAAACAAACAAGGTCAAATCAGTGAACTCAAAGATTGTGTGGATTTTTAAATAATAAGATAAATGAGATTCCTGTTCATACTTTTTCCTCAAAAATCTCTTTTCTCACTCAATCTGTCTTTTCAATAAAATGCACTTGTCAGAAAATGAGATCTTTGTTTTGGGAAAATACTCTCTAGTTGCAGGGAACAACTACTTCTTATAACCCAGAAATCTTGATTTGTAAGAGTGCAGTGATTGGTGTTCAGGCAGGGTAGGCCAGGGGAAAAGGAAGCAAGAAAAATGAGCACCAACAATTGGAAGTGACAAATTTGTGAAGGTTTTCTTTGAATTGCAAAAAGATATTTTGTTCACAAGCTTTGCCAGCCCTTAGGGAACTCAAAGCTTCGCTAAGTCATTGGACTGAAGTAAATTGCACACCTCCTGCCCCAGTGTGTGAGTGAAATCTAATCTGTAGTGTCCTGCTCGTGAATTCGTCTGGGCGCTCAGTGTTTTTGATGGTTATTTTGATGAGCTGCTGAAGGTATGAGGGATCCAGCAGGAAACTGTAAATGAGATATCTGCTCCCTGTGTGACAATCCTGTTTATACCCATTTCTTTATGAATGATGTCATGTCACTTGCCGCCACAGGCAGCAATTTCTATGATTTATCAATGTCAGTGTGACCAAAATGTTAACAACGTAGCTTGAGGTGCAATTTCAGACTCCTTGTGGGCAGTGGAATATTCACTGCCATTATCACTAGTGCTGGGAATCTAATGAGCATTGTAACTCCCTAACTGTTCACCCGTGAAAATGCTTAAAGTGGCATCAACTACTCAGGTGTATAGGGCTTGAGTGGGTAGCTTGCACCAGACATAATTTTTAGTTTTTTTTTTCCTTTCTTCTTCTTCTTTTAAAGCTGCAATTGTCAAAATTGTGCTGTGAATCTCTACCTGAGACCATTTCCCGCCTGGCGTACACCAGGGGAGGAGAGTCAGGAGTACAAAGCGAAGCCGGTCCAGTGCTTTTCCTGCTAACTTTGCTTTGGGCAACTTCACTTTTACCTCGCTTTGAAGCCCCCAATTCAAGTCTCAGTTGGGGAAATACCAAAATGGGCGTGTTGCAATACAGGAAACTAACTACCTAAGACAGAATTAAAACATAATTCTGAGAAATGAATCTTGAGTTCTCTGCACCCTTTGCCTATAAAAGCTCAAATTCTCCTCTGCTGTCTTTTCTAGGAAACAATCTATAAGTTCCCTATGGATAAATACATATTTCCTAGAACATTTCAATGTCTTTGTTTGTGTCAAAGTCTCTGGGTGAAAAAGAGAAAGTTCTAGAAGCTAGAGCTAGGAAGAAAAGGAAAACAAGCCATGGTAGGAGAAAAATAATAAGTAAATGGAAATGTGCTTAAATAAACCAAAAAGGGAAAGAGCTCTTTGTTTAAAATGGGAAGAAACAATAAATTACATTTCTACTATGAATGCAAATCTGCCTGAGAAGAAAGATCAATTACAGAAGAGAGATTAAGGATTTAAGTGACCATTAATTAACAGTAAATTATGCCCCTTGAAAGCTAATGTGACATTCACACAAGCACTAAATGACTCACAGTTCAGTGATGTTTCAACAGACACTGATGGAAGCTATCAACAGACCCAGAAAAGATTCCTCACTGACACTACCTCCTTGAATGCTAATAATCAGCTGCAAATAATTCACTTGTAAGATTTCTGGAAAGTAGAATGTGTTAGTGACTGAGCTGTGAAGCACAGCTATACCTATAATTCCATTCTTACAGTAATTATGCAGACAAAAAGAGATTTTTTTAAGAGATAAGAATACAATAGAATTATTACTTTGTTTTCTTTATTTCAATGAGTTACTGTCTCACACACCTATCTTGAAGTGTTCAGGTAACACTGATTTTAAAAAAAAATGCTATTCTTTCTTTGGTGAGTATACTATTTTCAGGATACTAAGAGAACTATGCATATATTGGAGTCCCTAGGCAGTACAATTAGGTAAGCATTAGATGGCTAACAGAAAGGTTGGTGATTCAAGTCCACTCAGAGTTACTTTGGAAGAAAGACCTGGCTATCTGCTTCCAAAAGGTCACAGTCTTGAAAACCTAAAGAGTACAATTCTACTTTGCACTCTTGAGGCTGCCATGATTCTGAATCAACTTGATGGCAACTACTGGTGCCACCACCACCAACAACATATATATCTGAGAGATTATAAGTAAATAGAGGTTTAGGTGTGTGGTAACAGTATTTAATGCTAAATGAACACCTGCAGTATCCCAGGAAGTAGGCCAAGCTCTTTACATAAATTATTTCATTCAACTTTCACACCAACCTTAGGAGACAGGTACTCTACAGCCCTATCAGGACTGCACTATTACTTCAGATGAGCAACTACAGGTTTAGGTTAATACTGCCCATAATCACACAAGTGGTCATGGAGTTTGCAAGTGATAGGGCTGGAATTTAAGAACAACTGATCTGGATACAAAGCCCATGCTCTTAAACATGACACTACATTGACCTGACTCCCTGAGAATATTATGAACAACCATGAGTCACATTTCAAAAGGAAGACTGACACGCTGGATATCATTATGGTTAGGTGTCATCAAATTGGTTCTGACACATAGAGACCCTATGTACAACAGAACGAAACACTGCCCGGGCCTGTTCCATGGTTACAATCTTTTCCATGCTTGAGCCCATTGTCACAGCCAGATCAGTCCATCTCATTGAGGGCCTTCCCCTGTTGCATGGAGTACATTTTTTGGCAGAAACAAGCAGGTGTTATCTTTGGGGAGGAGGGCGGTTTCAGGTTAATAATATCTTCCATTTCTGTTGCTCCTTACAATTTCACAATGCCATCTTATTTGATCTTCCTGAATATCCAAAGGAAACAGTTAATTTATAGGGAAACTGAGTCTTGAAGAGATTAATTGACTTGTTCAATGTCATATGCCTGGTGAGTGGTGGACCAGGAGCTAAATTTTTCTCCTAATCCAGGTCTCCTACCCTAGCACACTCCCTCTAGGTAGCAGCCATGCATTGGTGATTGGTTCAGTGCTCTTCCATTTACAAACTGTCTTTAGATTAACAAGTAAAATTCCAAAGTTCAGGTTTTTCTGCAATAAACTTTCTCCATATGATTTACAGTCAAGACTGACTACTAGATATGATTGAAACACATTTTCTACAAGCTTTGAGACAAAACTCAACCATAATACAAAATATTGGAAAGAATTATCATTAAGAAGAATTTCTTCTGTTTTCTGACTTTCATTTTTCTATTTTATCTTACTTAGTTTAATGTTCACAATTATTTTCTTCTAAGAAACCCATTTGGCTTTTAATGAAATTTCCTCTATTTTCATTTTTATAATTAAGATATGCTCTTACCATTAAGTTCAACATCCAGGATTTTTATAGTTCAATGATAAGTGACCATTTTTCTTTTATATACAATAAAAAATCATTTCCAGCTCTTTGGCTACCAAATTCCTTACTCATCTCCTTAATTGGCTCATTCCACTCCCAGTTGCATTTTTAAAACTTGAAAATTCAGGTAGGAGCTTAAGGAAGTAGGGTATTAGGAAATACCAGCAAAAACATAACCCTTTTGATTTGTGGACAGTTACCAACTAGGAATCAATTGCATCCTAAATAACATGGTTTAATTTAGTAGAGTTGATATGGTAGTGTGAAGGTATAGTTTCAGAAATTTAGAAAAAGTGTATTAGTTTCCAAAGTATTTTTAAGGAGAATTATACACTCAAAACTTGCAAGCTTATAGTAGCTGTCTTTCGAGATAGACTCATCACTTGTATAGACTTTGTAAGGCTGGGTGTAAAACCTTTACTGTCAAAATGATATCCAGGTGTCCATAGCCATGATGTATGCAAGGGACTCCCTCTCTAAGCTTATAATGAAGACAAGACTATTTTGAATAATAAAAATATATTATCCAGACATAAAAGCAAATCTGAAAAAGAATGACTTAATGTAAATTGCTGCAAAGAGATCTTGATTTCTACAGAAGAGTTATTAAAGAATTATAATATTTGAGAGCATATTTTTCAGCTATGTATAAAAAGCCCTACTGTGTGATTCTGTATGTATGTGTATCTGTAACTGTAGGAATAAAATCATAAACACATCTCCATGTACTGTCACAGGACTGGGGTTTTTCAGATGATGAATCAAGACAAACACTTGAGAGAAGTTATATAACATGGTATATAAAAATATTGTCTCGAGCTTCTAAGCATTAATATTCAATTCCTAGTAAAACCATTAAAAGGACTTACCTGAGGCAGTGACCAGGATGAGGGTCCACAGAGCAGCCATTACACTTGTCAATGTTCCTGGGAAGGACCCAAAGAAAAGGAAAGCTAAGTTGCTTATCAGGTGGAACGCCGGCCAATTTTCCTAACAGGGTTCCTCACCACTTTGCTCTTCTCTGTTTTCCAGTTTGTGCATCCTTGCCGGTGCTATTTTGTAGATACTAAATGATACCAAGGCAAAATGCACCACACAAATGTTTTGGAATAAATGCCATCACGATACCCCTTAACTTTTCCATTTGGTTCTGCCCCTGGATCAGATCATGGCCAGCATTTCAATTTCCCTGACAGGAGATAGCTAAGTGAATAATGTAATCTAAGAGGAGCCCCTAAGGAGAGGAAATTCCACACTAATATGATTTCCTTTATAGCCTTTACCTAAGGCAATGCTCTTGCGGACATTCAGGACACTAATTTCATTAATAATTGAGATCCAAATAGCTGTTCTAAATCAGACTTATGCAGTAACATCTTCAACGTTTTGCAATGGCTATTGGACTCTTGAATTACACAAAGCTAATGGAAACCTGGCATTGTCTAATGAAGAACAACTGCTAACAATACTATGGGAAAAGTGCTTTTTGTGTTTCCTAAGCCTCTATAATTAAAAGAAACATTGATTTTTGATAAATAGGAGATCTCCTTAAATTTTCACTGCCCACAATTCAGAAAGTAACTACCAAAGAAAGGATGCTTCTAGGCCTATTGAAGATGAGAACTATTAAAATTTAACATTACTCAATTAAAATGTTTGTTTCTTTTGATTTTTTGATTGAGTATCCACTGATGTTTTGTTATTAAGGAAAAAGATTCATAATTCCATTATCCATTGGTAGACCCTTAGATGATTGCTCTAGAAATGAAAACTCATTTTCATGCCATTTCCACTGTATGTCTGCTTTTGATTATACATGGGATTGTAAAGGCATAGGTTTGAGATAAGTTTTCACGGAGCAAAATAAGGAGAAAAAAGTAGTATATATCTTATTCCTGTTCTCCTATTTATTCAATCTCTTTGTTTAGAGACCAAGGAGTTTTTCTCCTTTCATCTTCCAGTAAAATGCAGCTTTTTTGATTTCCTATGGTTGGTAAAGGCAGTTTTATATATATATATAAAAATATATATATATAAATATATATTATATATATATTTATATATATATACACACACACACACAGACATACAGATATAAATAGGTGTTGTTGTTGTTGCTATGTGCCGTCAAGTCGGCCCCGACTCATAGCGACCCCTCCTTGGGTTTCCGAGGCAGTATCGCTACGGAAGTAGGATTGCCCAACCTTCCTTCCGGGGAGTGGTAAATAGGTGTATACATGTTTATAGATATATTCCTTAGCTTTGTCTACTAAAGGGATGAGGAGCAGTGACACATGGTTAACAATAACTACACCTAGCACCCAGATCTTGGCTTCTAAGTAGTATTTTACCTACAATTAATAAATGGAAAAATGACTAATTCCAGGACTGGCTTAGGTGAAGTATAAAAGGAACCTAGAACATCCTGTACAGAAAGTAAAGGAGAGCTAAAAGAGTGATGGGGAGTTGAACTGTCATATGTTTTGTTGTGCAGATTTTCACCACAATAAATTTATTTTTAAATTAAATACTCAGCTGAAAAAAAAAAAAAAAAAGAAGAAGAAGAATGATGAGGATGTGATGAAAGGAACGAACTTGGATGAGCTTACCCTGGCCAAACCTAGGACATCAAAATCAATAATGATGGTGTGATGTACTGAATTACATGGTATGGCTTTTCTAGCCATAGTCTTTGTAACTTCCACTGGATTACCAGGTGAGACCATGCAAAGATGTTTCAACTTGTCTGGGCAGCTGGTAGTAGTTATTCCCTATACTGAGATGGCAATTAACTTCATGGTGGAATCTACCCTGAGCAACTGAGTAGCTGCTTTTAAACTCCTAATTGTTAAAGTCATCCCCCTGGGGTATTTCTGTTGGAGCAGCATGAAATAATCTTCTGGGAAAGTTCACTCTCTCTCAAGTGTGTAGAACTCTGATGTTGGGATTGGTTAGTTTTGCCCCTCCACCAGGCTGAAAATGAACCCTCCTAGTGGCAGAAGGAAATATCACACTGCTGACTGAGAGAGATGCCAGGCTGAGAGACAGCAGCAGTGGAACCAAGAGGCATGAGACAGAGCAGCAGGTTTACCTGGCCCACAGAGGCAGAGGCCAGGCCAAAAGGCCAAGGGCCAGAGAGCCATTATCTAAGGGCACAGCAGAGGAGAGACTGTCCTGATAAAAGAACTGTATCCTGAGTGTGTTCCTGAACTTGAATTATAGCCTGTTGCTTCCCTAATAAACCCTATAATCTGTGAGTTCTGTGTAGCCACTGCAGCACATTATCAAACTCAGCAAAGAGGTGGTGGGTGCTGTGGGAGGGTTGGTTTGTCTCAAAGTTGGTAAGAAGGCTGGAGTGTGGTGGCATGTCTGGTCTCATCGGAACAGGCCTTGAGCTGCTGATGGTGATTCTGTCTCCCTCTTGTCTAGTTAGCAGAAATCAAAAGATGCCACCACCTTGCCCCTTTAGCAGATGGCAATAAATTATAATCTACTAAATAAGAATAACCCACAAGTCCAAATTTATTTAAATTAAAAAAAGAAAAAAGAAAAAAAAAAAAGAATAGGAAGGAGAGAAAGCTTTTCCTGAAAATAGAAATAAGTGTAGAAGGAATTATGGAATTGTCATAGTAAAAATTAATTCACCCAAGAAACATCAATGGATGCTATGGTAGTTAAAGTTGTATGTCAACTTGTCTGGGCCTGGTTGAGTGGCTGAGCAGCTGGTGGTAGTTATTCTGCATGATGAGACTAGCAGTCAACTCCATGGTTGTATCTACCAAAAGCAGCTGAATAGCTGCTTTAGGGATGTGGTCTGCTTCCCGTATATAAGAAGCAGCTTTGGGAATGGTTTCTAGCTTATGGCACGCTTGAACCTTGCGTGTAGCCGTGTTGTTGTTCAGCAGTTTGCCATGCTCTGCTGACCTTGGGATTTTCAATAGACTTGAATTAATGACCTGCCATGTGGTTTGGTAACATCAGGACTGTGCCCTTTTACTTGTCAACCTTGGGCTTGTCAGTCTCAGCAGCCAGCAGCTGAGTGAAGAAAAGCCTGTAGCTCCAGTGGGCCGGGAGCAGGAGGCAGAGCTGAAGCCCAAGGTTGAGGGGCTTTCACCCAGACCCTAGAGCCTGGCACTTTGGACTTGGACATAAAGCTGCCAAACTGTAAGAGAATAAACTCCTGTTTGTTCAGCCATCCCATTTCTGGTACATTCTTGTCAGAGTGGTACTAGGTAACCAGAACAGATGCTAAAAGTAGTTAGTGAAAGTATGATGCAGAATGGGATATTTATATAAAACATTTAGTAATTACAAAGAGAGAAAGGGGGAAAAAAACTTTTTAGTGAAGCAACCTGGCAGACAACATGTTAATCAAGTGATGTTAATCAACTCCCATCACCAGTAATGGGAGTTGTGTGTCACCAGATAGGATAAATTGAGCAGATACTGCAGCATTTGTGTGGTCAAAAGAAACCAGTTGCCCATGAGTCCATTCCACCTCATGGTGATACCATTTGTTGCACAGTAGAACTGCACTCATAGAGTTTCCTAGGCTTTCAAAAGCAGATCACCAGGCCTTTCTTCAGAGGTACCTGTGGATGGGTTCAAACCACTAACCTTTTGGTTAATAGTTTAGTAACTAGCTGTTTGCACCACCCGGGGAATCCCACTTCTGTGATAGTCTTGCCAAAAATTCAGAACTGAATCTATTCAGGAGATAACACCAGACTTTGTACTGTGGGATATTCTATAAAGTCAAGTATGTACTCTTCAAAATTATCAAGACCATGAAAGTTAAGGAAAGATTGAGGAACTGTAGCAAACTAAATAAAAACCACTAGTTGTTGTCTGGTCAATTCTGACTTGTGTGTCAGAGTAGAACTGTGCTCCACAGGGTTGTCAATGGCTCAGTTTTTAGAAGTAGATCACCAGATCTTTTTTCCAAGAAGCTTCTAGGTGGACTTGAACCTCCAACCTTTTGGTTAACCGCTGAGCTCATTAACTGCTTGTCGTACCCAGTGTCTCCATAGGAAACTAAAGATTAAGTATATAGGACAGCAAAATGCCATGTGTGATCCTGGATTAGATCTTTTGTTATAAAGGACATTTTGGGAAGAATTGGTGAAACTCAAATGAGATCTGTGCATAAGATGGTGGTAATGTATCAGTGTTTATTTTCTGATTTTGATTGTATTGAGATGATGCAAAATAATGTCCTTTGTTAATAAGAACAACACCTAAGTAAGTATTGCATGGTGAAGGGGCATCATGTTGACAACTGACTCTTAAATGCATGGCAAGCAGTTTTTCCAATTTATTGCTGAAAGTTTAAAAATATTTCAGAAAAAAAATTAAATGTAACATGGTAAAGAAACTTTGATACAAAGTCACGAAAATTTCAAAAGTACTCTTATACAGACACTTCACCAAAGAAGACATTCAGGCAGCTAACAAACACATGAAGAAAGCTCATGACAATTAGCCATTAGAGAAATGCAAATCAAAACAACAATGAGGTATCATCTCACCCCAGCACAAAGAGCAAAGTTCAAAAAACAGAAAACAACAAATCCTGGTGAGGGTGTAGAGAGGCTGGAACCCACATACTCTGCTGGTGGGACTGTGAAATGGTGCAACCACTGGGGAAAATGATATGGTGCTTCCTTAAAAAGCTGGAATTAGAAATACCACATGATCCAGCAATTCTACTACTAGGTATATATCCTAGAGAAATAAGTCCCATGACATTAACAGATATATGCACATCCATGCTCATCATAGCACTGTTCACAACAGCAAAAAGATAGAAACAACCTAAATGCTCATCATTGGAGCAATGGATCAACAAACTATGGTACATACACACAATGAAATACTATGCAACATTAAAGAACAGTGATGAACCTGTG